GTGTGTGTGTGTGTGTGTGTGTGTGTGTGTGTGTGCATGTGCACTTGCCACAGCATGGTGGAGGGCCACGGAGAAGTTGGGGCAGTCGGGTCTCTCCACCACACGGGTCCCAGGGATTGAGCTCCTGAACTCCTGTGGGCAGGCATGGCATCCACTTAGCAACCGTCTCAGCTGCCTCTGCTTCCTCTTTTCCACGTTATATTTGCCTGTTTTGAGCTCTAAGTCCAGCCCAGGCTCGAGGAGAGCCGGTGGTGTGGGGCTGAGTGATCAGGCTCGAGGAGAGCCGGTGGTGCGGGGCGATCTTCCTGGGAGAATCTGTGAGCACTTGCTGTCAGAGCTGCCCTGCCTTTCATGCGTGTTTTGGGGCCGATGTTCTAACATTATACGGAAACCTCGGGTCCACAGAGGTGATTTTCTGAATGATTTAGTTTAGTTTCAGACCTGGCAAACCAAGCTGTCTCCTTTGTCCCTTTGTCTGTCACTAGGATAGCAAGTTTATTAATAAAATGCTTGAGGAAGATCCTATTTCTCTGTGGATATCAGCTACCGAGTTAGATTTCTGCTGGCAGTGCGTTTTAATCTGGGAGAACCTGGAGGCTGTCTCAGGGGAGCACAGAAGAGATCTCAAGGGGCCTGATGTCAGGAGATGGCGATGAAGACGCCAGCTCTGCACATGTGACTCACCCATTTGCTTGCAAACGTTAACGCAGCAGCTATAGGAAGTGTTAAAATCACTTCAACAGAGAACTATTTTTAGGCAGCATTTTTTTTCCCACCTTGAAGACTATCTTTGAAATCTCAATTGTGTGAATGAGAAAAAAAACCCATAAGGTTTTAAATATCTCTGCCACAAATGATCCTGTGGCTGATCCAGTTGGTTCTGTAAGAAAGGATTCATGGCCCCAAATACTCAATCGGCTGCTTTGTGAATTATCTGTAGAATACTGCTTCGACATCGTTCTTGGCATCGTGGCCAGCCCTGTTGACAATCAATGATTGCTGTGGGTTTTAGCTGAATAGTGAGAAGGGAGGGAATACATAATGGCTTTGTAAATATTAGCTGGCTGTTTTTAATACTGTCTTCTCAACTCCAGTCACACAGGTGAGCGCCTGCAGTATACTGCCACCTGGTGGCAATAACTTGTACTTTGCACAAAGCTGCTTGTGAAGACAGGGGGGTCTGCAGATGACTGCTCTAGCAAGAGATGGCATGTCAAAATCTGGAATGTTCTCTTCTAGGATGATTTCCTGTTCAGCGTCTCTATTTTAAGTGGGATCCTTTGCAGCGTCCTGGCTGTGTTGAAGTTCATGCTGGGGAAGGTCCTGACGAGCAGAGCTCTCATCACAGATGGTGAGTAGGACAGGTGTACCTTGTCTGAGGGCTGAGCTCCAAAACAGGGGTGGTGCTGCCTGGATTCGGTCAGATGCTGGTCCTGCAGAGGACCTCAACAACCAGGGGATCCATTTATGCCCATCCCTTTTCCCCAAACAGCTTTCGTCATGACACTTGAAGCTTTCACATGGAGGCAGGTGTCCGCCACCCTAAGTTTAATAACAGGAAACAGAAGTGGCTGGGTTTCTTTTGGTTTCCTAAGACAGGGTCTTGCGTGTAGCACAGGATGGCCTTGGACTTTCCTTTCTTCTGCCTTAGACTCTTGTGTGTTGGGATTACAGTTGCGTGCCACTGTGCCTGACCTTTTATTTTATTAAGGAGAGAAATAGAGCTGGGATATAATCCGGTTTATAGAGGGCTTGCCCAGTTTGGGGTTTGAGCCTCATTGGGGCGTCATCCGGGTGTAGTGGTGCACACCTGTGGTCCCAGCACTAGAGAGGGGGAGGCAGGAGTCCAGGAGTTCAAGGTTCATAGTAAGTGTAAGGCCAGCAAAGGCTACGTGAGACCTGCCCCAAAACCAAGCAAAACAAAACTTCCGTCAAAAGTATTTAAACTGAATGGATTAGAGGATGAGTCTGAGTATTTCTCTGAGGGACATGGCTGTAGCCTAGGTTCTTTTTTTTTTTTTTAAGAAAGTAGGAAATTTTATTTAAAAAAAATTTGTTTTTAAATTTTTGAGTTTAAAAAAAAGTTTTGTTTTTAACTTTTTACTGGTTCTTTGTGAATTTCACATCATGCGCCCCAGTCCTCATCTCCCTGCCCCATTGTGCCTGCTCTTGCAACGTCCTACCCAAAAGGAAAAAAATCCGACTATGGAAGCTGTGGTGTCCCACAGTGTGTCCCACAGTGTTTCTTTTGTCCACACATTTCGACTTGCAGATGCTCACTGAGTGGAGTCTTTGGTCTGCTTTGAAGTTCTCTGGCTCCTCACCGGGACTCCTCTCGGTTGTCCTGCTGTTGCCTGTGTCATGGAGGTCTTGCAGCTTTGGGTCTGCAGGACCCACCCCTTCACATGCTCCAGAAGTTCATAGATGGGGTAGTTGTTGGGGTGGGCCAGCTCAAGGCCTGGATGTGGTGGCTGAGGTTGTTGTTCTTCTTCTCCTCCTTCTTCTTCAAAACATCTTTATTGTTTAAGTAGTCCTTGTAATTATTTTTTAATTTTTATTTTTTCTCCACAATTTATTAATTATATATCCTGATTGAAGCTCCCTTTCTCAACTCCCCCCAGTTCCACCCTCCCTCCCTCTTCTCCCCATCCCCTTCCCCTAGTCCATTGAAAGGGGGAGTTCTCCACTATTGCCATCTGCCCATAGCTTGTTAAGTCTCATCAGGACTGCCTGGATCCTCTTCCTCTGGGGCCTGGCAAGGCTGCATCATCAGGAGCGAGTGATCACAGAGCAGTCAACTGAGTTCATGATAGAGGCAGTCCCTGATCCCCTCACCCAGAGATCCCCATGGAGACGGAGCTGCCAGTCTGGCCCAGGTCCTTAAAGCAGAAGGAGACAGAGCTGTGTGGGGCCCTGGTCTCTCTAAGCTGTGGGGTTTGCACCTCCATCGTCCCGGTACCTGGGGAGGGGGTCACAGTATAGTCAAAATAGCCCGCTGGGGACAACACATGCAGCCCCATGGTCGCTGATAAGGTGAACCCATTTCCCGGGCTCTACTGGCCTGCAGGAGCCTGGTGTCTGTGTGCGTCTGCAGTCCCCACCTCCATTGTGATGAAGCCTGAAGCCTGAATGTGGACTCGACAGTCAGAGCCATTTCCAGACCTGCCTATAATCCTGAAGACCGTCTATAGCTGTGATAAAATATCCTGACAAAAGCCAATCTAGGGGAAAGTGTATTTGGTGTATACTTTTCAGTCACAGGCCAGCTTTTGAGGAAGTCAAGGCAGGAGTTTGAAGCAGTTCACCAGGACACATGCATAGTCAGGGGCAGAGAATGAGCGCAGGTGTGCTTGTTAGTGATTAGCCAGCTTTCTCCACTCTCCTACAGCCTTAATCCAAGGAAGGGTGCTGCTCACTTTCAGACATTCTTCCCACAATAATTAAGTCAGTGGGGACAGTTCTCCACACACCCACAGGCCAGCCTGATCTAGACAACCCCTCACCAAGACTCTTTCCCACTGGTGCTAGACTGTGTCAAGGTGACAAAGACCACCAAGACCTCACCTCCCTGAACGGAGGCCTTGTACCTGTGGGAATGGTTCCCTTTGTCTCAGGGATAGTCCATAGTCAGATCTGTGCTTAGGCTTCACAGAACCTCCGACCCTCCACCACTGTGCTGAGCATCTCAGTGCTGCACGTGCTCATAGAGGCCAAAGGAAGACCTTGGTTGTTGTTCTTCCGTGAGACAAGCCTCTCACTGACACGGAGTTGATAAAGTAGACTAGGCTGGCTGGCGAGAGCCCCAGGAATCCACCCATCTCTTTCTCCCAGAGCTGGATTACACATGCACGCCACTAGGCCTGGCTTTTTGTCTTATTTTGTTTTGTTTTGATATGGGTTCTGAGGACTAGAACTCAAGGCCTCTGTTACTGACTGAGACATCTCTGCTCCTTCTGACTTTGATTTTTGACCCACACAATCATTCACACTTAAGCAAAAGTGTCCGTTTGTGCTCAAACTGAAAGCGGGGATTCCAAAGAAAAGTCGGTAGGTGGAGTAAAAAGTGTTCTTAAGCAAATGGATGCTGGTTGGCCTTCCCCAGGAAAAGGCTCCTGCCAGATGGAAAGGGGCTCTGGATGTTAGGAGAGGGCAGGTTCCAGGGGTTGAGGTCAGGAAATCAAGGGCAGAAGGGTGGCTATTATATCAAACATTTCAGTAGTTGGGGTGACATGACTGCGGTATTCTGAAGGGTCCTCTGGGTGTCTTGAGTGAGGAATAGAAGGGTGGGAGGCACAGCTCAGGTGGGGAGAGGGCTCTGGGGGGCCAGGAGGGGGCCACAGGGACGGTTAGAGGATGTCTCCGTGGCTATGGGAAGAGGGTCCCTCTCGTAGAGTGGCTGTCTCAGGCTAAAGGAGCCGCGGTGCGTAGTTAGAGCCGTCTCCTCACTGCACAGTCCGGATGCAGGCTCCAGTCGGTCACTGATTACAACTAGGGGGCGACCTGCAACCTTTTCCCCTGTCTTAGGAAGGTGGCGGGGTCGGGGTGGAGGAGGCGTTGGGAGAGGTTGGTCAGTGACAGGAGACAGCTACAGCTCCATTTTGCCACCCTCAGTGGCCCGAGGATCTTAGACTTTTGGGGACTTTGATTCCAGCCAGTCAGAATTCGTGTCTTTGGCACTGAAAGGAGTTTCAGAGCTAGCTGGTGTGGTGAAGCGAGCTGGAGGGCCTGGCAAGACATTTTAATATAGGCCTACCCGAGGGTGCGCGGAAGGCAGTTGACACAGCCACACAGGGGCGTGTGGGTCTCAGGGGAGACTAAGGGAAGTAAGATATGCCCACTGCAGTGCGGGCGTGGAATCCTCAAGGGGTTTCAGTAAGCAATTAGCTGTCTTCATGTTAGCCATATAGGCCTCTGCTGTCTCCCAAGTTTCATCTAAAAACGTTGATTAGGACCCCTCCCCCATTTTTCCTCTCCCTTTTGAGAGGGAGGATACAGGAGGTGGCTCTGGAGATGGCTTGGATGGGATTATAACTTGATCAGGCAAAAACTGGGGCCATGAGGTGACACAAGGAGTCTTTTCCTTTCCCTGCTAATGGGATTTCTGTTCAGATTTCCAGAAAATTCCAGGCTCATAGCTGAGAAGGGGGAGAAGCCTTAAGCACTTGTTAATTACCCCGAGATTCTTGCTTCTCTGCTGGTGGGAGGCTTTATCCCAAGGTTCTCAACCCGTGGGTCGTGACCTCACAGGGGTCCTATATCAGCTAACCTGTGTATCAGATGTTTACATTATGATTAACAACAGTAGCAAACAATACAGATATGAGAAAGCAGCGGAAATAATATGGTTGGGTCCACTACACGATGAGGCACAGCGCTAAGGGCTGCAGCGTCAGGAAGGCTGAGAACCCGTGCTTCAGCCAGACGTCTGGGGGAGGAGCTTCTCCCTCTTCTGATGCCACCCAACCCCCCTGCCTTCCTGTCTTGCCTCACTTTGATGCATGCTCTGCAGCTTTTCCGCTGGCTGAGGCAAAAACAAGAACCTTCTCTCCCAAAAGAGACAAGAAGCACCGTTCTAGAAACCTCTTATCCTGTAGGCTCGAAAGACCTTTCCCGTTCCTATGGTGTTGAGGCTCACAACTGGAGCCCTGTGGGAGTTGGGTCCTGCGAGCTCAGCCTCCCAGGTCCTTTGTGTGCCTGTGTATATGGAGGTCAGATGGCTTTGCAGCCGAGAAGCAGGTCTTCAGGGAAAAGGGTCAGCAGCTGGTGGATGGTGGAGTCATGGAAGAACGGCAGGCATCTTCTTGAGGCTGCTTTATTTGGTCTTGGCCCAGCTGCTTTATTGCTGTAGTCAGTAAGTCTGCAAACATGCCCGCAGAACGAAGGTGGAGGCAGGAATGTAGCTCTGTTGGCAGAGTGCTTGCCTAAATGAGTGAAGATCTGGGTTCCCTCCCCAGTACCTAAAAGATCAGGCACACCTGTAATCCCAGAACACAGGAGTGCAAAAGGATGAGTTCAAGGTCATTCTTCGTGAGTATGAGGACAGCTTGGGCTATAGGAGTAACATAAAATAGCTCTGAGCAACAAATGAGTAATACAAGCAAGACAGAAATATGGGAGAGGTCACCCTGGGGAGGTTTCAAGTAAGGGCTGACAGGCTGGAGGGACCAGGGAGCCCTCTGGCAGGGTTCTCATCCCCCTCCAACTTAAACATGCCCAGAACCTCTATAACACCTTCTCAGGATGCTCATCTAATTAATAGTGTTAATCACGCACTTTCAGGACCTGAGTGCCACCTTACAGAACCCAACTGGAAAAAAATACCTTGACATAGCACTGATGCATCCTTGTGATCCTAGTCCTGGTGGGGAGAGCCAGAGGGAGCTTAGCTTCAGACCAGGTAGCTTCAGGGTCACTGGCCGCCTCAAAAAACATGATAGAAAGTGATATGAGAATGACAGCTGAGGGTGACCTTTTCCCTTTGTCTCTGTCTGTCCATCTCTGTCTCTGTCTCTCTCTTAGTCCCTAGTCTCTGTGTTTGTGAAAGAGAAGCTAATAGGAGTCACTACAAAGGCCAGGGAAGCAGAGGTCACCTGAAGAATTGGGCTCAGGAGCTGTGTTTGCCGCAGCCCCTCAGCTGGGAGGCGGCAGCACAGGGCTGTCCGTGGTGCTGACGGGCTGAGGGCTGGTTCAGCGGACCCATGTGGCCATCTAGTGGCTGAAGGGGGAACTTCTGTTCCTCACCTTTTCTGAGCCGTGCAGCAAGGCTAAGGTCACCTCACCCCCTCCTTTCTTCCCCAACTTCTTGTGATCATCCACTAACGACTCCAGTGATGTCAGCACCCTGTTCTGAGACAGGGGAGACAGAAAGGAAAAGGACAGGGTTAGGTTTCTAGTGGAAGAGAGATGGTAAAATAAAAACAGCAGAGATAGCATGCTGGGGAGAAAAGAACTTCGAGAGGAACAAGCTGTGAGGATGAGGAGGCAGGCCGGGCAGTGGGTACAGAGGAGGCATGTGGGCGCCGAGTCTCCCCCTGGGAGGGAGCAATGTGCAGGGGAAGGCTCACCCAGACAAGGGGGCCTTCCCTACAGGGGTTCATCCACCGTCATTCCTGCTACAGGAATGTTGAGACCACAGACCCGCAGGCCATGCTGCCTTATCTGGGTTGATGTCGATGCTGGGTGGGAAGGATCCCAGCCATCTCCCCACAGACGTAAATCTTTACGTTGATTATTCAGAGAGCCTCAGCCTGAGAACACGGAGGCTTCACAACCTAGAGGTCTATCCAGGAGAGGAAGCAGAGGCAGTCCGTCATTCCCTTTAGTCTTGCCCCTTGGGCTCTGCTTTTCCTGCATCATTGTTCTTCTCTGTGTAGGGGCCCGGGGTCCCCTACACTGAGGCTACTGAGCCTTGAATTCCTCCTGAGCTCCTGAGCCAGCTGTTTGGATGGCTTCTAGATTGAAGGTTAACTCAGAACAAAGCAACCATTAGCAATGTGTGTGTGTGTGTGTGTGTGTGTGTGTGTGTGTGTGTGTGTACAGATTTCTTCTACAGAATGAAGGCCCAGTATACTTGTCGGATTACTGTGTAATCACTCTTTTTTTTTTTCAGGGTTCAACTCTCTTGTTGGGGGCGTGATGGGCTTCTCCATCCTTCTGAGTGCGGAAGTGTTCAAACACAACGCGGCAGTCTGGTACCTGGATGGCAGCATTGGGGTCCTGATTGGTCTCACCATCTTTGCCTACGGGGTCAAGTATGGCTCTGATTTTATCTTGTATCACCCATGGTGTAGGGACACCCCGAGAACCCCTTTTCCTCCAACACTGTCTCCAGTCAGGAAAGAAAAGCAGGACCTCACGTATCACTCCTTTATGCCTAGGAATATGAGCGCTGCATTTGCTTTTCCTGGGAGATGTCAACAAACATCTCTTCATCCCAGCTAGGACACCAAAGATGGACCAAAGTAATGGGCCCATGCATGTGTAGCTTGGTGCGTGGTATTGGGCCTTTTTAAGGGACATGGGTGAGGAGCTGCTTATAGGAGCATAGGTTTTCTAGTTGGCTCCTGCTGCTGTGACAAACCAAATGCAGCTTGGGGAGGACAGGGTTCATTTAATCTTCTCTGTCACACTCTACCAAGGAGGGCAGTCTGGGCAGAAACTCGCTGGAGAGAAGGATGCTGCTGAATGGCTCGCTCAGCCTGGTTTCTTACACAGCCCAAGACAGCCTGCCCAGGGCGGATGGCATGCCGACAGTGGTAGGGCCATCTCGCATTGCTCATTAATTTTGAAATTACCCTGAAGCTTGGGGTCTCAGGTGAGAGTGAGAAGGTCCTTCCCTGCCCCGTTTTTCTCCGAGGGAATGCCAACAGAGCAGCTCCTGTGGGTCGCCTGTGGGCTGCTGTGGCTGCCTTGACTTCAGTGGCAGCTGTTAGGCTCAGGGGACAGCGTTTCCCAGCACTGACCTTTGTGAGAGGTAGGAAAAGGCCTGCAGGGGCAGAGCCTTCCTTGTGGGATGGCCTGTGAAGAAGGGCCTCTGGGAAGAGAGTAAAGGATTTTACCCCTCACTCGCTTGCTTCTTCCTTGTTCTTTTCATTCACTAAATGGTCCTTTCCTTCCTCTATACTATATATTTTGATTATTGCCATTATTAAGACACGATGTCAGGTAGCCCAGGCTGGCCTCAAATTCACTAGATAGCCAGTGATGACCTTGAACTTCTGATCTTCCTGCCTTTATCTCCAGAATGCTATAATGAGGGCCCCATGATGCCCCGGTGAGTGCCACCTGAGCATCTTTTCTGTTACCCGATGCCTATGTGCGCTGCTGGGAAGCAGCGGGAGCCCAGGCTCAGGCAGTCCTAGGCTTAGCAAGGCCTTACAAGGGAGTACTCCTGGGGCTGCTGAGATGGCTCAGTGCGTGAAGACGCCTTGCAGCCTAAACCATTGGGGTCAATCCTCAGGACTCACATGGTTGAAGGGGGAGAGAATTGACCTCCATAGTTGCCCAGCGGTGTGTGTGAGCAAACACACACAAACACATTCTCTGTTTCTCACACACACATTCTCTTTTCTCATACACACACACACACACACACACACACTGAATAAATAAATAAATATAAAAAATTGAAAAAAAAAATGGGCCTACTCCATGCAAAGAGCCACTCTGGAGGGAGGGCAAAACCATCTTGGCATGGGGTTCACATTTTTTTTAGATTTATTTATTATTTATTATGCCATTGGGCTGTATGTTTTAAAAAAAACAATAGTGTAGTCTGTGGGCAGAAGAAGTCACAGCTAGGACTTGTGGGTAGCTCAGGTAGGAAAGCATCATTATTTGAGTTTGATCTCTGTAACCCACATTAAAAAAAAAAAAAAAAAAAGCCAGGCGTGGAGGTGCACACATATACTTCCAGGGCTGGACAGGTGTGGCCTGGAGGACCCTGGGTTTGCCCGCCTGCCCAGCCTAGTTAGTGAGCTAGGTAAGAGTGGGACACCTTGTCTCAGAAAGTCAAGGTGGACGACTCCTCAGGAAGGATGGGGAAGGTTACCTGGGTTCCACAGGGCCCCACCCACCACAGGCACCTGCACACACAGACAAACCCACAGATAGCCTCAGCTTCCCCCAGCTCTGCCGGTGCTGAGGTGAGCCTTTCTGTCTCCATTTCTGCAGGCTCCTCATCGACATGGTGCCTAGAGTGAGGCAGACGCGTCACTACGAAATGTTTGAGTGAAGGCGGCGGGAGGGGCGGCAGAGACGCCCCCGCGGAAGTGTCACGTGACCGGAGGTTTCCACGCAGGCAGACGGTGCCAATATTTATCTGCACATCCAGTTTCATTTTGGGAAGTTTTCGTTTATGGAGTCCTTGACCATGGGACGAGGTCTGCCCGGGGGGTGGACCCGTCCGACACCCTCACCCAGTCGCCCACCACAGGAGGGGCCGCCACGCTTCCCCATCTTCAGCCGGAAGTGACATTTTCTATTTCCTGGAGTCAAGCGGTTCGTGAAAGCAGGCTAGGGTCTCTGACGCTGTCGCCTCCTCCTGACACATGTGGCTAAGCCACCTCTAGATTCACACTCTTCCCCTAGCAGATTCCATCAGAAAATCACTTCCTAACTTCTGTCACCGTTTCATACACTTTTACTAACCCCAACACTAAACAAAGGTGTTCAGAAGGAGACCTTTTATTTTTCAAAGCGTTTAGTGACATATGAGCTTTGCATGGACAAGCTACGTAAGCACACAGCCCTTCCTTCCACGTTCAGAGCCTGCACATCCATGAGAACCCAGGCCCCATTTTTGAGAGATGTGAAACTCCACACATTTATTTGTAATAAATAATTATACCCATTACCTGAATCTGCATCTCTCTGTGTGCTGTGCTACGGACATGCTGCCTCAGCCTGGGAGAAGTGGCTCGCTCCTCCAGAAGGAACAAGATGCCCTCAGTTCATGTGACGTAGAAGTGCTGTAGACGTAGCCCATTCCACCGTGTTCTGTAGCTCTCACAGAGGGCAGCCAATAAAGACCGTTACCGTTTGTATGGAATGGGGAGGTTGTATCTGAGAGTTGTCGGTGTGCGTGCCAACATGTAGATATCTCCATTGTGGGCAGGTTCTCTGTGTGTGCGTGCTCTCTTTCCTCTGTGTGTCCACACGTGGAGCCCATCTGGCTTTTTACATGGACCCTGTGGGTCATACTCTCGGTCACTGTGCCCGCCCAGCCAGCACTTCACCCACTCAGCCATATTCCCAGCCCCACGTACACCAACCACATTGTCTCTTCCCTAGAACTGGGGTTTCCAGCGTGGGGCACCACACCTGTCTTCTGAAGAAGCCAGGTTCCCAGACACGCATCGCACACTCTTGGAACTCAGCCTCCGTCTCCCTGTCCCCATCCAGCCACTGCTTGAACAGACCTTTGAAAGTGACTGTGTTGGCACCATGAAATGCAGCCCTCCCCCATCCCAATCACTGCCACCTGTCACACAAGAAAAGTTTATTGAAAAATAAAGTTCTCCCTACTTTCTCTACAACACGGGACAACAAAGCGGTGTTCTTCTTGCCTAGTACAGTAAATTTGGGGCCAGCGACACCTCATTTGCAGGACCCTGTGACTTAGCCCCAGGAGCGACAGTGGAAAACAGTTGCACCCGGATTCATTTGAAGACACAGACGTGAACGGCCATGAGCTTAACACCAGGGTTGTGGCAGCAACTACAGTGGAGGGCGCCACACGTCCTTTGGCACCGTGGTTACACCATCTTCTTTAGGACTGGGCTCTAAGCGGACCCCACGCTTCCCATGTCTGCTTTGGCCAGCTTCTGAGGGTGCTGCAGACTCTGCTCCGTGTCCCTCCTCCCCATGTGGCTTCCGCAGGCAACTATCCAGCTTATGTGCCCAGCTGTGGGGAAGTGGAGAGTAGGGGCCAGGGAGGGCCAAGAACTGCCTAAGCGTCACGAAATCTAGGCAAGAATGAAGCTCCGAGAAAGGTAAATTCAATCATTTTATCCCTCGAACTGTAAAATCATTGACCCGGTGAGACGAGAGAGGAATTAGAAAAGCACCCTGGACTCCAGCAAATTCTCCTCTCTGTTCCATCTACCCACAGTTGTTCTACCAGGGAAGAGGCTAAAGCCACACACACACAAAAATAGCAATCTGGTATTTTAGTGACCTCTGGGGTCCAGTTTTGAAAGAAGTCAAAGTCCCTGTGGTAGGGACTCATTTGGCTCCTTGGGCGTGGGGGTGGATTTTTCTAGGGACCAGTCATGGGATTAATCCTGGATCCGATGGGAACGTGGCAGAGGTAACCAGCCTGCTGGGAGCTGCCCTGTCCAGCAGGGAGCAGCAAAGGAGTTTCCTGGGGACTGTAAATTCAGTTGCTCACTCTTTCCCTTAAACAAACTCAAGATTTTATTATTGCATTATGGAGGAACAAAAATTAAACTCTAATTCGAGGAGTGCAACTTCTGAGAGAACTTTTAATTGAGCTCAAGAAAGTTCCCCAAACAAACCCCTGGAATGTTTCCAGAATATATTGGTGGGTTCAACTTCAGTTAATAAATTCTTTCAGTTGGTTTCATGGAGTGCTGAAGACTGACATATTTTCCAATTACTCAGTGCATTTAAGAAAACACTAGAATTCCAGCGAGCGGGGTAGGCACAGAGCTTAAACATTTGAAACAATTCCTATACCATCTGATCGACTCAACAATATTTTTATGTAACCATCATCTTTGAATCAACAATAAGGGGTGAGCACAGCTCTATTTCTCAAGTTTTATGATATACTACTAATGTCAATATTGAACATTCACCAGGCTCACTATGAGCCAGGCACTGTGCTAAACACGAATCCCCGCAGGACCCTAAGTGCTAAGAGAGCTAGAGAATTCTTATTTTCTGTATCCAAGACTATACAGCTAATTTGGTCTTTCGCTATAGGTAAAAAACAAAAAAACAAAAACAAAACAAAACAAAAAAACAAAACCCTAACCAAAAGCTTTGACTTT